GCCTGACCTAGTACTGCCCCAGCACCACCAGACCTACAGCCGGTCGCGACGAGCGGTGGTTCGGCTGTTCGGGAGGAGACTACGGCCGGAGCGCGCTTCCCGCCCAGCGCTGCCCCGCGATACGGGTGACGGTCCCAGAGCCATCGATGCGTCCTGCCGAGGTGCTACCAAGCTGTCAATCCCCGCACCTCTGATCAGCCGCACTGCGCCTGCACTCGAGCGGAGACTCCGTTACAGAGAGAGCCACCGTTACAGATGTGCTACGGCCGTAGCACGACACATGTTACGGTAGCATAGAGTGTCCGCTCGACTGCTCGAGGATGTAACGTCATCGGCCCGCTCCCGTCGCTGCTTTGACGGCCGGCGCGGCTGGTGGCGCCACCCTCGGCGCGCTCGGCGTTGCCACTCAGTCCAGCAGAGCGCGGCGAATGCGCGGTCAGCTGGCGCCGGCGCACCACTCGGCACGGATCCACCGTAAGGCGGCCGTGCTGCAGACCGCGCTGGCGACCGCTGGCCAGTACGCTGAGTTACAGGTGAGCCCCGAAATCTCAGACAAGTGTTCAGTTGATATCAGCGCTCATGTGCTCGTAGCGGGCGCGTGAGGGCTGCTGTACGAAAGCTGTGGACATTACGTCGCGTGGGTAGTCCAAAGGAAGCTGCGCGTGCATGCCGCCGTGCGCTCCAGGCCACACACTCGCTGGGACTCGCTCCGGCGCATTTATGACCAGCTCTTGGCCGGGCAATCCGCTGACTCAGCCTCCGCGTTGATGTGGTTTCCGGCATTGGCTTTTCAAGACCGGTTAACAAGCAGACGCGTGCCTATGATCAAGAGCTATTGGGGTGAACGAAATGTACTGCCGGCCCTACACGCAAAACATGTTTGTCACCATGAATGTGCGACAAAGGGGGATCCGTGCGCACCGTGGCACGTGACTGGAGATCCTGTAGGGGTCGGGTGCCCCCCCCCCCTTCGTGACCCCGAAAAATCAGAAATCTTGGGGTCCGGGCGTCCAAGGGCCCTTCGGGTGAGTCACATTAAGCTCACAGCTCAAAAATGAGTGTGCTGAATGACAAACGCCCGAAAATAGTTTATTTGACAGAATAAAAGTACAGACAATACGAAATTGCTACTTTCAGATGATCAGTAGGCCCCATGTGGCAACTGCAGGCCCCTCTAGCCGTTCAGTGGACTCTTTCTGGCGACCAGGAGCGCATTGCCTTTCGTAGCCCCTTCAGAACACAAAGATGACCTCGGGAACTATTCAAGGGCTCTTTGGTCACTCAGGGGTCGCATTGCCGGCACAGGGCCCTGTGCCAAGAGCTTGTCGCCCATGGACCGTTTCAGTCGCTCGGGGACTTTTGGATCATTGAGGGCTTATTTGGGTTATTGAGGAACCTCTAGCTGGCGGCATTTTCCCCGACTGCTCACTGAGATAGAAACGGACCTCGAATGTCAGAAGACATCTTGGGTCGGTCGGACCTCAACAACAGCAAAAAGGGATATGACAGGGGCCACAGTGAGGCAAAGGTAGGGTCCCGTAGCAGTCAGGGGCTCAGCACCAGACAGGATCCCCCGCCCGTTTTATTTAGGGTCCAGATGCGTCGAACTGTGATCCCTGTGCCATTTCTTGAACCCGCCACCCCAGAGTCCTAGATGGGACCAAGGAACCTTATATGTCAGATGTCAGAGAGGGGCCCCTTCGTCGATCCAGGGTCAACAATCCCGGTTAGAGGGCCTTTGGCGTAAGGAGGAGACCCATGTACCATGTATCCATCTGGGGGCCTCCGGATCGACCATGGGCCCACTAGGCCCACGCGTCGTCAAAATGGCAGCCGGTAGGGGACCCGAAGTGGGACGGAAATGCCCCTCAGCCCCCAATCGAGGAATGTATCAGGTACGCTAGTCTTGGCTGAATATTCTATTCAGGTACATGAAATGGGTGGAGTAGCTCTTCGAACTCAAGTTGGTAATTTCCGGTGATGGTTGTTTAGAGAGGAGGCGGGGGGGGGGGGGGGTCACAGTCAGGGGTCCTTTGTCAACTCTGTGCATCCCCTTACCAAGACGGTGCTCAGGTCCCTTTTTCCCACAGAGGACTCTTCCTGCCAGTGAGGTGTTCCCGGTCGGCAGCGTTGCCGGTGGCTGTTCACGGGCAGCGCTGACCGCCCGCCTCCGGTCCCCAATGAGAGCCTCTGAGCGCTCAGTATCCCTTCTCGCTACCGAAGTGCTCATATGGCTACTCGGGGCCTACCTGGCCCGTTCCACGGCCCGTTTGGCCACCAGAGCCATCTAGCTGCGACCTTCTGGGCACTCGGTGTCTTGTTGCTGCTCAGGCAGTTTTGGACGCTCCTATCGCCTCCACGAGGAGACGGGACTGAGGGACTCCCAAGAGTCCTTAGGAGTCCTTTCTATCCATCCGTCCGTCGTTAGGACTCCCAGGAAAACCTCACGTGCCGTTCTTCTTGAGCCTGTGGTTCCGAGGAGTCCAAAGCGAGGCTCTGGGGAGTTCAAAGAGGGGTCAGGTGAGTTCAGGTTGCCCCCTAGGGAGGCTCTTTTTGGGGCGCCACAAAGAAAAGTGGCCGAATCGAATGGAAAAGTAAAAACAAAGTTTTGTCGTTAAAATAAAATTTAAGGCAGACCGATAGCCCCTCTGCTAAAAGGCACGACTACGACAAAGTGCAGCACTAGATCGACCAGGAGAATCCGGATACCCTCACTAGATCGCCCAGGAGAATTCGGATGCCTTCACATAAAACTCTGACATGATTTAAGCCCTCTGGAAATGCTAATGATACCCATCGACCATTCAACTCTAGTCTGAATAATTTTGACGGAATTTAGATTTTCAAAACAGTGCTGCTGATAAACACGTTTTACCCAAGTTTCTGCGCGTCTTAGGCGTAAAAAACGCTGGTGACTCGCTCTAGGCATCGTTGGGGAGGTTAATCATGCTAGTAGACGACCTTATTCCACTCTGAATAGGTTGGCGCTCAAGGAGGTGCAAAACGTGCTGAACTTGTTTTGACTGTAGAAATTCGCACCAGAACAAAAATGGATCCCAGTAACGTTTTAGGCGTAGTTACGCCGATGAAAAGCGGGTAAAATTTTAACAAATTAGAAACACGCACGGGCTATTATGCCAACGGCGGCAGACGCTGGAGCGTAACAGAAACGTGCGCTTTCGGTGCGCTAAAATGCACCACAAAAGACGAGTTGAGGTCTTGTATGAGAAGGGCGGCAGTGAGATGGAACCAGTGTTTTTTTTCGGCAGAGACACATTGGCTTAATTGATCACAGATTAGGTATGCATAAGCTTAAGCCGAAGTGTCATGCACCTCCAAAATGCGCATGGATGCACGTTATGCTCACGCCAGGCAAGCCAAAAAGTGTGACAAGCTCCCGCCCGCTACCTGTCCTTTTTTTAAAAAACTGGTTCTTTGGAAAATTGAGGTCATTTGGCCACTCCCAGAATAAAGCCGCCTAAAACAAAAGTGTTCTAAAGCTAGGAGAGGGAGACAAGCCCTTTTCCTGTTAACTGGTCCCCAATGGCTCGGGGCTCGTGGATACTGGACTTCCACTCTCCGAGGGCGATCTGCATTCCTGTCGTGGCACCCTTTGTTCATGAAGCAATTGCAACACGTTGGATGGCATGCTAGTGTTAGCGATGTCCGCTTGCATCGCTCCTGCAAAAATTGACTCAGGGGGAAAAGGTCAAGGTCAGGTAAAACGGGACACCCGGCATTTTTTGTTCGTGAGGTAATCGCAACGAAATAGGTATCAAATTGATGCTCGTGATGTCAACTTTCGTCACGCGCTGAAAACATTAACTCCTTTTTCCAAACGGACACTAACCATTAAAAAAACCTTTTCATGCCAGTTTGCCGCGATGGGTATACACACAAAGACATGCCGATGTACCTCGCTTTATTTTATCTTGACCTATGGCCTCAAGATACAATTTGTTGAGGTGTGACGAAAGTGGAGATTGTGGCCGTCAATATCACAACCGTTTTGTTGCAATGATTCTATAAACAAAGAAGCGTCAGGGTAACTCCCGTCCACGTGACTGTTTTTGGCATTGAAAGATAATTGTTTAGATGTGACGAAAGTTCACATCATGAGCGTCAATATTTTGATCTTGTGTTACACCTGTTTCGTAAACACAGAAATTCCAGGTTATCCCGTTTATGTGACCTTGGCCTTTAGCGTTGAGCGAACTTTCGCATGTGTTACAAAAGCGGGCATCACTATTATAACCAGAAACTCATTTTCTTACAATTTCTGATAATCGAAGTACTACCGGGATATCCCGTTTACGCGATTTTTGCTTTTGACCTTGAGAGCTATTTCTGTATGTGACGGAAGCAGATTTCCGTCACATATGATTTTGAATATGCTGCGTTTTTGTTGCAAATGGTTCATAAGCCAACAACTGCCAGGATACCCCGTTTTGTGTGACCTTGATCTTAGGACGTGATGAAGTTCTTGCAAGTGTGACAAAAGTTAAATGAAATAAACTTAACCAGTGTTAATATGATACTCATTTTGTTGGATGTCTTCGATAAACGAATGAAGGCTAGGATATTCCAATGCTCACCTTTCAGCAGCCTTTGCAGGCCAAAGTAAGTGACCTGGATAAAGAGTATGGCTCATGCGTGACAAGCTCAACGTGGTTTTCCCATGGGAGAGATCTGGTGCAAATCCGAACCGGACACTGAGTTCGAATAGGCTGACTTACTTCGCACTTACGTGACGGACAGGCTGCGGGCAGAGGACAGCGCTCGGCGGTGGCGATGAGCCAGCTGCAGCGTTGGCCGTCCTGGCGCCGGGCGCTGGCGCTGATGACAGGGTGCGCGGCGCTGCTGCTGCTGGGGCTGGCCGGACAGCTGCCCAGTGCGCCAGCCCCGGCCGCCGACGGGCCGGTCGGCACGCCGATGCTGGCTGGCGTGCCGCCGCCGCTGCCGGCCGCCGCCGCCGCCGCCGCCGCCGTCGTTGCCGACGACGATCCGTGCTGGCTGGATGTGACGCTGGACAGCAGCAGCGAGCCTGCCTGTCTGCTGACGGCCCGCCACGCTCCCGGCCAGCGGGTCGTCTCGTACTCGCTGTTCCAAATGGACGCGTGGACGGACGTGAACCAGACCGACGCGTGGGAAGCGCTGCTCATGGTAACTGCTGCCCGCTGATCGTTGTGTCGTGCGTCATACCTCAGGCATAGCTTCAGGACCGAGTCCGTAAAGAATGCGCTCAAAGGATACACTAGCAATCAGTACATGACTGCGTGCTACGCACGCGCCTGTTAACTCCACACGTAACTAAGTCAGTGTGACACGTATCACATGTAACTAACACATGTACCTAAGCCAGTGTTCACTGCTCGCGCACTTAGAGCCGGCTTGGGTCCATTCACGTCGTCAATCAACATCACTCAACTGTGAGCCCGGCATTGACTTGCCACAGTCATACAGCACGATGTGCGCGTTAGAGCACACCTGGACACCGCGTGATCTCGGCTACAGAAGGCCCTTAATACTGGGTATGTCATGCAACGTGTAAAATAGCAGTGCACCAAATCAACACGTGCACACGGACATGTACGATCAGAGCTTCAGGCTCGCAGTGCCGCGTAATTTGAGCTGCCGCCGATGCATGCCAAATGTTTCTTGGCGTCTGACCCTGCAAAGTTTTAAAGCACACATGGCCATATTTGGTTACCTGGCGAACAGCGAACGGACGACGGCCATGCCCGAGACTTGCGTCAGAACAAAAACAGTATTCCGACCCCGATGAGGCGACCTTCTCAATGCTGAAGTCGACTCCGATTCCACCCGGTGCGGCGCGCGGTTCCTGGCGCAGCTGGTGCCGACTGCCAGCCGCCAGTAGGCAGGACCTGATCGGCGCTGCCGGCAGGCTCTGGACCAGAACGCGGCGCTCTCAGACCGACTGTACCCGAGCTGGCGCGTGCGGGTATACCACGACACATTCGCCGGGACGGTGCGCCGCTTCCCGCCTGGCCCGCGTCGCCTGCCGACACGCAAACATCGACCTCTGCCACGTGCTCAGCTACGATGGGGACGGTAGGTAGGGAAGCCATCCGCGCGCGAGCCGGCCGGTGGCTGCGGTGTGTAGTAAGGCCCCATCAGTACAATGACACGCCAAACCTAGCTCTCCTCTCTCTCTCTCTCTCTCTCTCTCTCTCTCTCTCTCTCTCTCTCTCTCTCTCTCTCTCTCTCTCTCTCTCTCTCCTCTCTCTCTCTCTCTCTCTCTCTCTCTCTCTCTCTCTCTCTCTCTCTCTCTCTCTCTCTCTCTCGCTCTCTCTCTCGCTCTCTCTCTCTCGCTCTCTCTCTCTCTCCCTCTCTCTCTCGCTCTCTCTCGCTCTCTCTCTCTCTCTCTCTCTCTCTCTCTCTCTCTCTCTCTCTCTCTCTCTCTCTCTCTCTCTCTCTCTCTCTCTCTCTCTCTCTCTCTCTCTCTCTCTCTCTCTCTCTCTCTCTCTCTCTCTCTCGCTGGACCTGCTTGGCGCGGAGCGTACCGAGGCGTCAGCGGGGCGAGACTTGGGATGATTCCGCTGAAATCAGAACGACGAATCAGACTGGGTCAGAGAGACGGTCGATGCCCTTCCCAATGGACCGTTGGTCCCCAGCCTACACTACATACCACAGCCCCCAGCGTTGCAGCGCGGGCAGTTTTGGGGTTTGCCTTGAAAGACTGGATTGGCGAGCAGGGTAATAAGTTGTCATATTTGAATTTGAAAATGAGCATATCGCACCTTAAAAACTACGCAGACCTATGATATTTTGCATCGAAGTTTCAAATTTCAAGCGAGCCAGTGACCACCACCATCGCATTAAGCAATGCAGCAGTTCTCAAATCGTCACCACATAGCAGACCAAACCCGTAAAACGTCAATCCTTTCTGGATAGAGCGGACCCAGTTAGAAGCTTTTTCAGCACTGGGAGCGTGTGCTGACGTCTTACGCCGGGCCGGGACATCACCGTTCCTGTGGTCCCCTGGTCATTCGAAGTCGCCGCGTGATGCCCGCCCGGGCGGTGGCGGCCCGCGCAGTTGACTCGGCGCCGGGCGCTGGCGGCCCGGCCGCGGACACATCCGCGCTCGCGGCCGGCCGGCGCTGGACAGTCGCGACTGAACGCTGCCACGGCTCGGGCTCGCGGCGCCCGTGCGGCCGCAAATGTCTGTACTGACGTGACCGGCGACGCCCCGCCGGCGCGCGCGACTCGCTTCTGGCGGACTGCGGACCGCCGCGGCGCCGAGTAACGCTGCCTGCCCGTGCGCCAGCACCAGGCGCGTACAGCGGCGCCATGTGGCGCCTCCTGCCGCTAGACGACCCACTGGTGGACGTCTTCGTCAGTCGGGACCTGGACTCGCTGCCCTCACAGCGTGAGGCCGCCGCCGTCGCCGCCTGGCTCCACGCCCCCGAGACGTTCCACATCATGAGGGATCACTGGGACCACCTGGTGAGGGCAGCGCACCGTGCAGCGCGGCGGCGATCTAGCGTAGGTGCTTGTGCATCCCCCCGACCGTACTGATGCCGTGCTTGCCAGTGACCTTCGTGTTGTGGCATGTGACTGCGACGGAAGAATTTGAACATTGTCACAAACCGGCATAGAATGGTGCCAGGAGTGCGGCTTGGAAACATGAAACCTCGGAATTGACTCGATTTGGGCACTATTGCACTCTGAGGTGTGGGAACGTCACATGGGCAAATGGTTCCATGCGTCACCAACACCAAAATAATAATGCTAAACGTCCACGACGAGCCTTGCTCTTCTGTTGCCACACCCGAAGCAGAGCCACCACTATCGTCATCACTGACGGCTGCAGTGACCGGAAACTTGCAAAATCATCGACCGCCTTCTTATGCGGTACCAACAGTGAGCGTATTTTATATATCTTGTTTGGTGTCGAGCTAAGTCCGTGGGTGTGCTTGCGTGCGTGGGTGCGCGGCGTCCGTTGGAATGCTTGCGTCCGTGGGTGTGCTTGCGTCCGTGGGTGTGCCTGTGCCTGTGGGTGTGCCTGTGCCTATGGGTGTGCCTGTGTCTGTGGGTGTGCCTCTGCGGCCGTGGGTGAGCATGCGGCCGTGGTGTGCCTGTGTCTGTGGGTGTGCCTCTGTGGCCGTGGGTGTGCCACCGGCCGCCGTCGCGCCGGCGGACGCGTGAGCTCGGTGTACCCGATGTCGGCAGATCACCATGCCAGGTGGCCTGTGGGGGGCCAAAGTTGGCCAGAAGCGCCCGCTCATGGCGCGACTCAAAGCCGAGCTGAACGGATGGGTTGACCACGCGAGGCACAAGAACTGGGACCAGCGGGCGCTGCACGGAATCGTCTGGAACCACGCGTCCGGTTAGTAGCAGGTTATGTTTTCATCGCTCGACCACGCTCCCACTGTCTTCCTTTGTCCTGGAACTCTTCGTTGTCCTCCTTTTGCCTAGAGCGCTGGTGTTTGCAGCCCACCGATCGCATTTTGTGTTCATGCTGGTTGCAGCGGGCCCATGGCAGCATCCGCGAGTTGCGTCACTGAGAGGAGCGAGGCCTCAGCTCTTACATACATTTAACATACACCTGTGACGTTGCGCAGACAACACCACCTTGGACACTTCGACGCACCCCGTCGCTTGACTCGTGGCGGAGGCTGCCAGCCGTTCGCGGCAGCGTGTTTGAGCCCCGGCTGCTGGAGACGACAGCCACAAACCAGCGTCTTTTGTCCGATTTTGGTGCGAGGCCGACCGCACTCGGCTGGCGAGTGGCTGCCACGCTTGCGACCTTAATGTAACATCGTCTGAATGCCGGATCGAAGTCACCTCACACCGTTCGCTGCGCCCTGGCGGTCCGGTCCTGGCGTTTGTTGTTCTCACCCGTTGACCTTGTGCCCGGCGCAGTGGACTCGGTGCAGCACGACAGCTACACGTGTCAGCGGTTCCCGGGCTACACCGTGCCGTTCCCGACGCAGCGGACCGAGAACGACACCACCCTCTACGTGGGCCAAGTGGTGACGGATGGCAGCGGAGGCAGCGGCGAGAAGCTGCGCACGTGTCCAGTAGCGTGCAGACCTCAAGAGCACCGCGATTGGGACTACTGTTGATTGGCGCTGGCGCTAGCAGGGGCTGGCAGCACCGCTAGTCTTGGCCGATGGTACCACTGTGCACAGCGCTGTTTCTGAGGGCACTGCCGACCAGGAATGACGAACTGCTCCCACGGTCGTTACTGCTGAAAGGACCCGTCACTAGGATATGTAGGGATCGTTAATGGGAAACACACTGCCCTGCCGCTGTCACTGGGCGACTGCTGACAGGCAATGGTGATCCGGCTCCCAGGAATGGTACTAGCGCAAGGATCTCTTACTAGGACTCCTGCCAGCCGAGACTGTTCCTGGGAGCGCTGCTGACCGCGCCGCCACTGGGGTTGTAAAAGGGTACTGTTACTAGGGGGTAGTACTGCAGAAGGGAACTGTCGAGTGCTGTTGACGGGAGCCATTACCTGCGGTGATAATGACAGATTATTGTTGAGAGTACCGCTGACAGCGATTTTCGCTGAGAGTACTGCTGACAACGATTGTTGCTGGGAGTACTGCTGACAGAGATTATCGCTGAGACTGCTACTGGCGGCGATTGTTACAGAGTGCTGCTACTCGAGGCTGTTTTTAGCAGAAGGAGCAGCGATTGCAGATGTGTATATCCGTATGATGTATTTAGTGTGTGAAACATAACTTTCAAGAAAATACATGTCGATGCCTGGAGAACGCTCATTTTCTGTCACATACGGTTGTCGCTCCACTGAATCCCTGCGCCTCCGGCCCCGACCAGAGGTACTAGTGTCCTCGTTGCACGATCTTCTGGCCATTCTGTGGCACGTACTTAGGCACTCGCAGTGCGGCGGTCGGACGGACATCGCATACCGTCATCTCAATGCATTACAATGGCGGCAGCAGCAGGCACCCGCGGTGCTTACAATCAGCGCCAGTTGTACTCTGTGGGTTTCTTATCACTCCTCCGTTTAAATTACCACGCACTTCGCATCTCTGACACTGCAAAAACATCTGACGACTTAACCCTTGACCCATATATATATATATATATATATATATATATATATATATATATATATGTATATATACCCACTTGGCGTTTCATTCCTGCATGGCTTCCGACACGGGCCCACAAGACCAAGCGTACGAACAGCGAAAGTGTATTTCACAGAAGTTGTCCATTAACAGAATGCATCGTCCTGCTTCACGCAATATACCGAACACCATACATCACTCATGGCCTAGAATTGGAATGCCCATTGTGTTTAACCGTAACACCCGGCTGAATTGGTCTCGCCTGGTGTCAGCCCGTTATTCAGCGCCTTTGAGGCGGCCACCATTCGAAACAGCTGGTCGAGAAATGAAAGAGCTTGACGCGCCACTATCAGCCAAATAAATGGTGCACCGCCAGCCGTTACACAAATTGAAGCCAGATGGCCTTAAGCTGAGGTCTGAAGCTGGCTGAACGCGGAAAGGCGTCCATAGCCGTGACGAGACTGTGGGCTTCCTCACAGCGGCTAACTAATGGCACATACCACAGGTCGCATGATACGAACCGGGCTGAGGCAGAACGGGCACAAGCAAGCCAGGTTAGCATGCATTACATACAGTGGTGACGTGTGCTATTTTGCGACCCCGCAAACGAATAACAACCACCGCCTCGGAGAACGCGGGCTCCAGCACGCGAGTCACGCATCCGGGGACTCTAACGTACTTCCCCACACACTTTTCCCCACTTTCGATAGCAGACCACGCACGGCGGACAACTTAAGCGGCAATGTGGAACAAACATCAGCAGAACCCTTCGATAACCGACGACTTCCGGTCGAGGGACTTACTGCCACAGTAGGGCAAGCTTCAACACATTCTCCGAACCTTTCCTGAACTTCAACTTCGCTTGCCCACTGTCCATTTGCTGCAAACTCAGCGCTGGACCGCGCTCGGCGGGCGCCCCGTTCGTGGCGCGCCGCCGCGCCCGTCTGCTGCTGCCTGGCTCGTGGCCGGGGGGTCCTGCCGACCCCTCACTCTGGCCGATCGCTGCTAGTAGCGCGGCCCATAGCCGTCGCGCCAGCCGCGCGAGCCCGGCCAGCGGCCGCCGCCGGACGGGCCGCCGCGCGGCCGCGGCCGGTACCCGCCGCCGTACGAGCCGAACATCGAGTTGAACGAGCCGCCGCGGCCACCTGCAATGCACGCCGCCGTCAGGGAGGCGGCACCGATGGAGCCCAGTGGCGCCGGTGGTCGCACGCGGCCGCTGCACGCTCGAGGCCAAAGAGGGACGCGTCAAAGCAAGCGGAGGTCACCACTCTAGCGCATGGTTCGTTGCCGAAACCACGTAACGATGAAATCACTGACACCACGCTCAACCTTTCCGTACCATCACCGCCCAACTAATTGCGACGATCATAATAACAAAGGGTGTCAGTTTATATTATTTTGTGAAGGTCCTGCCTCCCTCCTCCCAATGCTAAGTTACCCCCTCCCCCCCCTCATCTTGACTTGCCCCACAATATTTTTGGCTAACATATCGCAAAAGAAGGAGAGAACATTAGCCATCACAAAATACTATCTTCTTTGAACATTGTTTGCAATCCATGATAACCTCTCCAATCAACTCCGATGTATTCTAAAGATAGTTCACGTGGCGCCGGCGCGTCAGGAATTTAATAATAAGCATGCCATCAGGCGTCCCATCAATAATACACATTTTCTACGCCACAGCTTCAGAACACTCGTCCCAACACTGTTTTTACACTCAGTTTATGTATTAAATTGAAAAAATATATCTTTAGCTTCAATCCCATACACGCATACGTCCAGACAAGGCGTTAATGTCATGACATAAGGCTGTGTTGAAAAAGGGGTACGACCCCGAATTTTCACCAAAGTTCTTGCGCATCGCTCGCATGTCACGCCTAAGTCGTATATTGAATAAAAACATCGTTTGCACAGGGGCGCTGTGACCTAACTCGGCGAAGAAAGAGCAAACTGAGGTCGTTTGCGTAATTCGGCGGAATTGTTTGCCTACCAAACCCGATCCCGATCCGATCCGATCCCGAACCCCAAACCCGAACCCGATCCGTTAATGTAGCCGGATGTTTATTAACCCAGAGAGGTATGTTCGTCGCATACAGCGGCGCACCTAGCAACACTACAGTACCCCTCCCGCTCCCCCCCCCCCCCCTCCCCCCCAACGTAATAAGGCCCGTTTGCTCGCTGTGCCAAAAACCGGCAGCCGAAAAGCGCAGCAGCTGAGCGGCGGAGCGAAGTAATAGCCTTTCCACACGTAGTACCATGAGGCGAGCAAAGGTTTACGTGGTCAAACCAAAAAGCTCTGGAGAGAGGGGCCAACTTAAGTTATTCATGGAGTCCCCCGTCCCCGTCGCCACAAACAAAAATAATCGCCGCTGCTCACGGCTGTCATAGAAGAACGCACTCCCTGACCTTACGTGGCCGCTCGCGGAGCGCAGCTGCCTTCCCAGGAGAAAGGGCACGTGTCTCCAGTGCTTTACCCCTTTGGTTTCGTCCCTGCATGACTACTATGCTACTTAATGAATGACCACTCGAAAAGCAATGCAAACATCAAAAAGTAGATTGTTTGTCTTTAAAATTAAGTGGGCTAAATCCGTTATGAAAAATGGGAGGGGGAATAGCTCGTCAGACCATCAGCTCTACCCCCAACCCCACAGTCATTTACAAAACCGTTCCCCAACAAAAGATCGCCCCTTAGGCCGGGGAGTGCCCCGAAAAAACATCTTCGGATCGTTCACACGCGGCCACCGCGGCTTCGAGCGTCTCGTGGCCGGCCGCCGCCCCAAGCGGGGGGCACCGACCTGGCGGCGGTCCGTCGAGGCGCGGCCTCGGTCCGTGGAACGGCCGACTGGCGGCTGGTCCGGCCACGGGCGGCGCCAGCGGCTCAAGGCCGTGGCGCGCAGCGTTCATGCGGCACAGCTGGCGCACGCAGGCGATCGTGGCGGCGTCCTGGTCGCTGGGCCGCGCCACCGACTCAGGGTCGCCGCAGGCGTGCACCAGCAGCTGCTCCAGCGCCGGCCGCAGCAGGACGACGCGCGCCGCCACCGTCGCCGGCATGCCCAGGTTCACCCAGCCATCCAGCTTGACCACCTGCCGGACACACGGCGGGGCTGTGAGGAGCGGTCGGACCGAGGGCGGCAGCGGCAACGACCGGCTGACGTCAAACCGGCCGGCGGCGGCCAGGGCCCGGCGTGAGACGAGAGGCGGCCGCGGTCGTTCGGTCGTCGGTCACTGGCCGTCCCAGCAAGCGCCACAGCTCGCTGTCCACACGGCCGTCCAGCACAGACACACGCCGTCCCAAGTCCGGCGAACCGGCAGACGGCAGCCGGCGGCCCGGCCGGCTGCGCGCGGCTTACCTCTCCGTGCACCTCCACGCGCCGCGCGGCGAACAGCAGCAGGTGCAGCGGCGTCACCATGGTCATCTGCTTGCAGCTGACGGCTCGCGTGCGGATCTTCTCGCCGAACACGAAGAACGGCGACGGGAACTGGATGTCCACTTTGCTGTAGTTCACCGACGCCTTGTGCACCAGCGCCAGCTTGGACTCCATGGTCAGCACCTGCGGGAGGCCGTCAGGACACCAGTCGCAGCGGTCGACAATCTGCTGCTGGTAACGCCCGCGACAGCTGTCACCAGCGGAGGCACGTGCCGGCTGGGAGTTATCCCACCGGCCAGAGAGCAGCTCCCGACCGCCAGTGACGCTCCACAGCTGGACTGACGACCTCGCCCGCTGACGCTTGTGGCACGCGCTCGAGGCGGCCACTGGGGCGCGCGCCACGGCCGGCCAGCTCACCTTGCGCCGCTCCCTGTGGTAGCAGACGTTGGGGTAGGTGCCGGCGGCCAGCAGCCCCACCAGCACGTCCAGCGCCGGGTCAGGCCCCCAGCAGTTGAGTGTCTGCGACAGCATGCTCTCCTCCGGGAAGCCAGCCGACACCAGCAGCTGTTTCAGCTGGTTCTTAGCCTCCCACAGGACGCGCAGCGCCGGCATGGAGAGCAGCTTGGAGTCGCAGAACTGGATCTCGGCCTGCTCGCCCGCCTGGCGCGCCTCTTCCCACGCCTGCGCGCCGAGGAGCGGGTCAGGAGCCAGGTCACGGCACACCTCACGGGTCGGGAGCCCGGTCAGAGGGACGGCACACCTCATGGATCAGGAGCCGGGTCACGGCACACCTCACGGGTCAAGAGCCGGGACAGAGGGACGGCAAATCTCAAGGGTTAGGAGCCGGGTCAGAGGGATGGCACACCTCACGGGTCAAGAGCCGGGTCAGAGGGATGGCACATCTCACGGGTTGGGAGCCGGGTCAGAGGGACGGCACACCTCACGGGTCAAGAGCCGGGTCAGAGGGACAGCACATCTCAAGGGTTAGGAGCCGGGTCAGAGGGACGGCACACCTCATGGGTCAGGAGCCGGGTCACGGCACACCTCACGCATTACGAGCCGGGTCAGAGGGACAGCACATCTCACGGGTCAAGAGCCGGGTCAGAGGGAGGGCACATCTCACGGGTTAGGAGCCGGGTCAGAGGAACGGCACACCTCATGGGTAGGAGCCGGGTCAGGGGACGGCACACCTCACGCGTTACGAGCCGGGTCAGAGAGACAGCACATATCACGGGTTAGGAGCCAGGTCAGAGGGACAGCACATCTCACGGGTTGGGAACCGGGTCAGAGGGACAGCACATCTCGCGGGTTAGGAGCCGGGTCACGGCACACCTCACGGGTCAAGAGCCGGGTCAGAGGGACAGCACACCTCACGGGTTAGGAGCCGGGCCAGGAGCCGGGTCAGAGGGACAGCACATCTCACAGGTTAGGAGCCGGGTCGAAGGTTGCACATCACAGCCCAATCACGAAACACGCACCCACCGACGCGTTTCTCTGTCAAACTGGGCCCGAATCCAATCCACAGCGTGACCCAAAGCATGAAAAAGCGTAAGGTCAGTCCTGCATACCACAGCCAACAGCCGGTCGGCGCCGCGCCGAGACGCACGCCATGGCGGCGGCGGCAGCGGCGGCGGACGCCACCCCGCGCCGCGCCCCAAGTCACCTGGAAGGCGTTGAGCGCGGCCAGGTGGTCGGAGCAGCGGTTGCCAGCGAAGCGGCGCTGGTGGTAGTTGCCGCGGCGCTGGTCGGGGCCTGACTGGAACACGTCCTGGCCGTCCGCCTGGCCGGCGATGGTGCAGGCGGCGTCGCCGAGCCCGAAGCAGCAGGCCAGCACCAGCATGCGGCCCAGGCGGGGCTCGACCGGCAGCCGCGCCAGCAGCCGGCCCAGCGGCGTCAGCTCGTTGCTGGCGTCCAGGCAGCGCATCTCGCGCAGCAGACACTCGGCCTCGATCACGGCGTCGATGGGCGGCGGCTGCACGGCCTGGCGAGAGCGCGTGGAGCAAGAGGTCGGCCGGCGCTCGGACAGGAGAGGGGAGGCGCGAGTTCTGGGCCCGACATCCGCTGACGCCCCGACGGCACCCAAGCATACGCTTCACACGCGTACGCACGCCCGGCCGGGAAGCAGTCACGCTGGCGAACACGGAGGCATGTTCCCAAACAGAGACTCGCACTCCCAGACGACGACGAACACATCTACAAACGCATGCAAGCACGCCCCCCCCCCCCCCCCACACACACACATACGTGCACATAACCCAGCAGCACGCGGACTCTCACACAGCCACCAGAGGTGCACCGGCACTCGTGCTGACGCGCTCGACGCCCAATCCCGAACGCGTTCGCAGAGAAGCACATGGCCAGACAGCGGTGCGGTGTCCCGCCGTTTCCCACGGCACCGCCGGCTTACCTTGGAGAGGAAGTCGCCGACGCCCCCCAGCCGCAGCAGCTTGATGGTCAGCGCCACCTCGTGCAGCGGAGTGCGGAACATCTCCGGCGTCATGTGCTCCTCCAGGCGCTCGAAGCGGGCGCGGCTGCACAGGTGGAAGCAGAAGCCGGGCCCGACGCGGCCGGCCCGGCCGCGCCGCTGCTCCAGGTTCGTGCGCGACGCCCAAACGGTGGCGTAGTTGGTCATGTTGTTGTGCGTCGTGAACATCTTCATCTTGGCCTTGCACGAGTCAATGACGAACACCACGTCGTTGATGGTGATGGACGTCTCCGCGATGTTGGTGGACAGAATGATCTGGGGCCGGCAGCCACCCGTCAACCTCGCCGCTCACGCCAAGACCACACGCACAAGGTCAACGCGGTGAGCTCTGGAGCTCTCACGCGGCACGTGCCACGTCAGGGACAAGGCGGCACACTCTGGCGCCGCTCTAGACCAGCGCACGACGCCTCCGGGCCCGGCGTCGGCCGCCCTTCCGACCGACAGCGGCCCCTGGCGGTCGTGCGCTCCGCCCGTGACGCTGGGACTCGGTGCGAGGCCGGCTGCCACGGTCCGCCACCGCTCGACGCCGCCGGGGCACAGCGGCCACCGCCGGCCGTACCTTGGTGACGTTCTCCGGCACGGCGTCGAACACGCGCCGCTGGTCCTCCCGCGGCAGCTGGGAGTGCAGCGGCAGCACCAGGTACCCGGGACCACCTGCGCGCCGACGGAGGCGGCCGGTCACGCGTCGGCTGCGCCGGACACGCGCCCAACAGCTGGCGTACATATCACGTCCGACCCCGACACAGGCTCGTGACACTGCCCCGGACGTCCGCCGTTCACGGGGTCCCGATAGCTGCAGCTACTCGCACGTCATTTCAGTCGCGCCACTGCGAGACGGAACTCGCGGGCCCTCCCGACGCGTTCCGCGACATCGAACGCGTGCCCTCCGCCCCGATGCCGGCCCGCCCGCAGGCTCCGGCGCCCATCCGGCGCGAGACGTCCTGCCGTCCGGATCGCTCACCGAAGGTCGAGCTCTGCTGGAGGTGGCGCATCAGCGCGAAGATCAGGCTCCAGCCCGGCAGGAAGATGAGCACGGCGCCGGTCGTTCCAGTGCCCTTGCAGTAGCGCAGCAGGGCCTCGATCAGTTCAAAGTTGGTGTCGCGCTCCAGCAGCTGCGTCATGGTCTGCCGCGTGGCCGCGTCGTACCGGCTCGCGTCCACCACCTGACCGGGGACGGGAGGTCAGGCTCTCACCATTCGTGCCAGATCTACGGTAGGGTGCCACCCCCTCCCGGTCGGCCATGCAACTGAAGCCACCCGCGACACCACCAGCCTGTCGTTCGTTCATGCTGTGCTTTTGGTTACGTTACCAGCTGAGCGGGAACAGCACCGCCCAAAATTATTGAACACCCCGATGGCGGAGATCCATCGAAAATCATGTTGATATCGAAACTGTTCTAGAATTCCGCTGAAGTTGGTGCCCGCTGCCTCACCTTGTTCAGGTTGGCGTTGGCGTCGTCGTCGCCGCCGCCGGCCTCGTCGTCGTCATCGTCACGGTCTCGCTTCCGCTTCCTATTGTCGGGCGTCGGCACAAACTGGCACAGCTGCACGCAGTCCTCCAGGAAGTACTCTAGCGGCGGCGGCCGGGCGCAGACCGGTCAGCAGCCACCCTCGCATGAGAGCGCGCGGCCAGCCCCGCCGACTGCGGGCCAGCTCATCACTGGCCGGCGTCACACGCGGCGTGTTTGGCGCAGGAGAGGCCACGCCTCGTGATCGGCAAACGTGGAGCGAGAAATGTGAGCGGGTCTTGGAACTTTTAGCAACGAGTAAAACCAGACCCTGCAATCACCACGCACCCCTGCCAGCTCGTCACTGCAAGGTCAGTCCGCCCAACGGTCGACTCTATGGCTCACTCACGCCAGCGCCCCCCCCCCCCCCCCCCCCTTCCCCTCGCCAGCGTGACGCACGACAGAGGACCCAACCGGGTCGGCCGGCGCGCGTGCCTGTCCGGCGCCGCCGTCGCCGCGAGCTCACGCTGGACGGGGTGGGCGCGGCCGGGCACCTCCACCACCGGGCAGCCGCCGAAGAAGTCGATGAAGAGGCTGGTGTCGATGGTGGCCGACATCAGGATGAGCCGCAGGTCGGGGTACTGGCGCACCTGCGCTGGCGGCAGCGCCACGCCGTGCCAGTCACCACCGCCGGCGGCGCCGCGCTGACGGGCGCGCCACACACCGCGCGCGCACAAATTCCCGCCACCGCCAAATTCGGTTAGTGTGGGGTCTCCCGTCACACTTCAACGCGCTCTTGATGGGTGGTGACGATTACGGGGAGTTGGGGTGCACCGACGTCTGCGGGCATTTGACGTTCATAACTACGGGCTAGCCTTTTAACTGGGTTTGAACATGGCTGAAAAGCTGTGTGGCTGTACATGGCTATATGTATATGGCTGCAGAACCCACAGCCTCCTTGAAGAAGACACATTTATCAGTGCAGGTACGACAGGCGTGATGCGCGCATCCGGGAAGTGTTCCAAACACCGGCACTACGCGCTCCGCACCACGCACCATGTCTCGCAGCACCACCAGGATGAAGTCGGAGTTGATGTCGCGCTCGTGGATCTCGTCCACGATCACGTGCGAGATGCCGCGCAGACCGGCCTCCAGCTTGCGCAGCAGCACCCCTGTCAGCCACCGGCGTGCGCCCGTCAGCCCGTGCGGCCAGTCATCAGGCACCGCCGACCGCACCGGTGGGTGACACCCCTCCCCCCGGCCATGCAGGACTGGGTCAGGTCCTGCTATCGGAGTGCTGTAGGTAAGCCATTGACTCCTAACATGGCGACGTCGGGTGCATACCGAGGCGTCTGGCCGCGGCAGCACACAGCCAGATAACTGCCCGAAGTCTCGTCAGGAGATCAAGCACTCTTATATTTACTCAAACATTTTCATGGATTTCACGCATCTACAGGTTGTAATATTGAGCCGCTTGAGCGCACAGCACCTTTACGCGTTTTTCTGAGATTTTGATATAACACTAACAGTATTAATAGCATAATATCGAGACGCCTGAGCGCACAGCGCCTTTGTGCGTTTTTCTGGTGCGTCAACTATTCGATAAGACGCGCGGCTTCTCTTCCGCTCTGCAGTGCGCGGCTTAACACGCGCCCGGGTGGCCGGCTAGATACTATTCGCTCGGGTGTGGGGGGGGGGGGGGTCAACTAGTCATATTACAACTGACATGTAATTGTACAAATGCCATAAATGACAATTGGTCAATTAGCCATAGGTCAGCGACCTTACAAGGAACATCTGAGTTTTTATGTTAAACCATCCGCTATTCAATTGTCTGCAGCTATGCAAAATCTGGCGCGGCTACGCCGCGCCGTTCGGAAACTGTTCTGGAAAAAACCTTCGGGGGGTCAATTTGACCCCCCACCCGAGCGCGTGTTAAAACAAGTGAAAAACAAAAACAAAAGAATGATGCTGGCGGATAAGGTACGGATGACACGTCGGGTCAGGGCATATGGAGTTGAGTCGTGGGATGGCCAGGGGTGAGACCGCTCGGGGCACGTCGACCACGAACGGACCTACGCTCAGCGAACTCGTCCCGGAAAGAACGCCAGACATGGTGAGGAAAATCTTACACCAACAAGCGATGAAGACGACCTTGATGATTGGGGCTTAAGGGCGCGCCGACGGCCGGGGTCGGTTTGCGCCCATTCAGCAAAACCAAATAGGCCATGCCTGATACACTTGACATTCCCACGCAGCGGGCAAGCCAGTCACCAAGCGAGCGAGAGCCTGCCACCAATCGGGCCGGCACCTCCGGCCTGCGCCCTGCGCCGCACCAGACCGGCAGCCGGCCCGCGCAGGGGCCGGACTGGTGCGGCCGCTGTCAGGTCGCCGCCGCACCACCCACCGACGGTGCAGAAGAGGATGGCGCCGTACGGCCGCGGCAGCACCGACTCGAAGCGTACGCTGTAGCCGACGGCATGGCCCAGCGGCTGGCTACGCTCCTGGCTGATGCGGTCCGCCACCGAGACGGCCGAGATGCGGCGCGGCTGCGTCACCACGATGTTGCAGTGGCCGCCCTGGCCCGACTGGATGTGCTCGTCCAGGATGTACTGGCACACCTGGCCCGGCCGGCGGAGGGCGCCCGCCGTCAGCCCACGACGACGGGCGCTACCGCCGCCGCCGCCGCGCACGCGCCGGGGCGGACAGGCCGGCGGACGGCAGAATAACCAGAGGACATGTACAGGTATGTTGATTCTGAACCCGCACCAAGTTCCCTCTCTTTCACACCCACGCACGCACTCACGCACGCACGCACGCACGCACGCACCCACGCACGCACGCACGCACGCACGCACGCACGCACGCACGCACGCACGCACGCACACACACACACACACACACACACACACACACACACACACACACACACACACACACACACACACACACACGGGGCCGGCCACGGCGAGGCCGACCGGCCGACTGACCTGGGTGGTCTTGCCGCAGCCGGTGCTGCCGCGGATCAACACCACCGGGTTGTCGCAGATGGTCTGCAGGATGTGGTCGCGGCAGTCGGCCACCGGCAACTGGCGCCGCTGCTCCACCATGTGCTGCAGAGCTGCGTCCTCCTTCAGCTGGTCCTGGTAGCTGGTGCACAGGTCCTCCGAGATAGCATCCAGCGTTGCCTGACGCATGGTCGGGGCCGGACGCGGGTCACGGGCGGGTCACGGGCGGGTCACGGGCGGGTCAGGCACAGGTCAGAGCCGGGGGAGGTACAGGCGAAGATCAGGTCAGACACCCGTCCAGAGAAGGCCACCTACATGCCGGGAGGGAGTCGACGCAGCTCAGCAGCGGGTAGAGAATCAGACGAGGAGCAGACGCGTCTGAGACCCTGTGCCACCCTCCCAGGTCCTGGCCGCAGCAAAAGAACGCCGCCGTCATAGCACTGCCCCGCCCGACCTTCTCCGGCAGGGCGCCGACTCGCAGCGACTGCCGCAGAGTGACAGCACACTGACATACACGGCCCCAGCCTGGCGGCACGTACCGCCGGAGGGCAGCAGCTGGTGCGGGCCGACTGTTAGCCGGCAACGGGGACGCGCCGCAGGACTGGGGGCCCACTGTCCGGCGCCCATGCTCCTGCCCAAGTGACCTCATCCACACGACCGACGCGCTGCGCACGCCAACCAACGATGGGTCAGAGAGCCGCTGCCCCGCGGTCCAGCCGACGCGTCCGGCGGTGCGCGGCCCCACGTACCGTGGCCAGGGGACCCTCGTCGATGTTGCACGAGGTCCACGGGTTCCAGTTGGTCTGCGGCGGCGACCAGGAGACGACGCCGGCCGGCTGCGGCTGGGCGGCCGCCTGGAAGTCGGCCAGCCGCGTGTCGCTCACCAGTGACACCGGCTCGTCGACGGACGGCTTCTGCGGACGGCGGCCGGCACGGCTGTCACCGCCGCCTGCACGGCGGCTAACTTCACTACGGCGGTCTTTCCGCCAATCTCACAAGTGCGGAAAGGGGAGACTGACGCGAACGCTGATACTTTGCTCCAGGAGGATTTTCAAGGGCACAAGATTCAGGAAGAAGCATTTACAGGCGGAGACATGCTTGGTACAGTAGCATGACAGGACAATCCGAGGAACATCACCAAAGTCTGGGGATTTTTTCTCATCAATTTCGCAATATTATACGCCGACGGTATTCCAGCCGCCTCACGAGAGCTGCTAGCGGGCTGTAAACTTTGCTCAGATACCCGGATGTCGGGCTACCAACCCGACGCTTGCTTAAAAGTCACGCCTACAGCTTCCTATCGCTGGCGGGTCGCGCCGCCCCCTCACGAGTTCCGGCAGCTTCAGCTCCAGCTTCTCCAGCACCGCGTCCACTTGGCTCTGCAGCTCGGGCGCCAGTGCCACTGGGTAGGCCGGCATCTCGTCCGAGCGCTCCTTCTTCAGCGTGCCCGAGAACGCCTCGATCACGCCCAGGTGGAACAGCTGGCGGACCAGCGACAGAGCGCACGCCTTGGACGCCGCCTGGAGTCGACAGGGGAGACGTCACTCGCAGGGGTGACGTAACTCCGTCGTCACCGCCCACTCCCGGCACGGTCGCTGAGCCGACATGGCACCATTGGGGACAGGGCCGTCGCAAGGTCATCGCAAAGGCGTCGCACGCGGCACAAGCACCTATCACACGGAATCCTTCTCAAAGACGAACAAACGTAGAAAAATATCCGGTCGTCTTCCTGCCCACAAATATTTTCACCAGCTGCACGGCGCGTAACGAGTTGACGTTTTCATAACGAGCAACGCACGTAGCTTGGCCGTTCACTCACTAGCAGCGATGACGATACATGTGGCTGCGATCGAGGGTGCTAGAACAATGTCCTTTTAGTCCCGACCGACCTACAGCCACGATCAGCAGCCCACTAGTGACGTCAAAGACCGACCTAGAGACGGAAGCATGTCATGAACAGCACGAAAATGGCTAGAAAGAAATGCGCCACGTACCTGTTTGTTGGAGCCCTGCTCCCTGGCGTGGATATTTCTGCTCAGCTCACGCACATAAAAGCCCATCTCGGCCACAAAGCTTCTGCAACACGGCACCGCGGTTAGCACGGGGCGAACGGCAAGGGGTGGCGACATGGCCTCAAGCGAGGCGAACATAGCAAACACAGATCCGAATGTCAGACTTACTGTTACCGGTCCCGAAAGCGCGCATATGACGCAATCCGGACATAGGACGCGGCCATGACGCAGCGGTAACTGACATCACAAAAGACTGGCTGCATCAGTCCGTTTACAGCCGATGAACCATAGCATGGAGAGCGCATCTATGTTGCGTCAAGCCATGTGGCGTTGACCGATCTTTTAAAGGCACAGACATGTTGTATGAAGCTTTAATACTTAGAGCACATCCAGGAGACGTGGTGACGGACACGGGACCACCGTGGGTCCCCACGCGGTGTCACCAGCCGCGTGCGGTGTGACACCCCCCGCGGTTAGAACTGAGTTCCAGGCGCAATGCAGTGATCGCCATCCCTATACGTTTCATGTAGACCGCTTGCATTTTAACACCACGCTACCCGGCACACAATCGAATCCATGGAATTCAACATGATCATTCCTGAATTTGTGATGAGCCGCTTCAACACAATGGCCTCTTACAGATATAGCTGCGCTTAGAATATTAATGGATATGTTCGAGTCGTCGCCAGTTTTTCAAATAATGGGCGACTGCCAATGCTCGGAGGGGTGGAGACTGCTTATGTGATGGGCCACGCCATTAACACAACATGATAGTCACTAGTGTCAAAGAGTGGGGGCAACGGAGGGTTCCGGGGAGAGGTCCTGCCTCCTGACTCCTGCCCCTCCCCCCTCGCAGTGCCCGTTATATCTATGTAATCACATGACTTGGTTTTGGCCGATTTGGTGTGTTGTGCACAAAAGACAAACAAAATAGTAAGCACAGTTTCATTCTAATCAAGATATGCCACAATCTCCGGTTTACAAACTTCGACCTCAGGATCAACACATTGACAATTAACACCAGGACTTACGTACACAAAACAAGCCGTCCTAAGCCGCAAAACAATAACTACGCGGCGTCCATACCAACAACTGACCAGCGAGTGACCCGGAGCCGCGGCACGACTCACCGGCGGTGGCCGCCGACGGGGCGGGACGGGGCGGGAGGCGCCGGGACCGGTCGGCCGGCCAACGGGTCTGGAACACACACGCACGGCACCCGGCCCGGTCAGCGGCGACCGGGTGCCGAGCATGAAGGGTGCCTCGTCGAGGGGTGCCGGCCTGGCCGCGCCCGACAGCGGCGCGGCCAGGCCGGGCCCACTCGTCGGCGGCGGCGGCGGCGGCTCTGTGCCGGCCGGCCGGCCCCGGCGACTCCCTCCGACTCCGGCGCCGACGGTCGCACTGGCCAGCCGGCCAAGGCTGCTGCGTGACACCATGTGACCGCTCACAGAGATGGTCCCCACACACGTCACGGCTGCTGCGTGACACCATGTGACCGCTCACAGAGATGGTCCGCACACACATCACGGCTGCTGCGTGACACCATGCGACCGTTCACAGAGATGGTCAGCACATACATCACGGTGCTTGTCATCACGCTTCCTCCTGCTGAAGCTACACAAAACAGCATGATCAAACACACCGCACTCACTCTACACCAAAACGTAGCAATTAAGCAACTAGCATCATCAGAGTTGAAAACTGTTCTTCATACTGGTCCATCTATGCCAGTTTTTGCCGGTGGCGCCGAGCACTGCAGCCGAAGCGGCTCAGCTCAGCGGCCCGGTCCTGGCGACAGAGGTCCGTGTCGGCCCGGCCGCCCACCCACTCACTTGTTGTGGTCGGGCCCTACGTGCGAGTACGTATAGTCGGCCTGGACGCGGCTGGTCTGCAGGAACTGGTGCAGCTTTGACTTGGCATTCTCCATGCTCCAGTTGCCATGGATGCTGGCATTGATGTCCACATCCTCTTGCTGAAATTAGGACTCAGTGGCAACACACAGCAGTGAGCCAGTCGGGCATCAAAGGTGCTCTGGGCGGGTAATCTTCTAGCTATGAGCAGGAGTCAGGGGAAACCAGACTGGCATAATGTACTTGAGATTTGTCACATTTGTTTGTGTAAGGTGAGGCGCTCAAAAGATGGTATTAATGTAGATGCTTGCTCAATAGGAAAACTCGAAATGAGTGATAATGCCTTTGCCCCCCCCCCCCCATGGAACTCACCCCTTCAACCTCTTTCTTGTTCATGGCCACAATCTTGTCCAAATATGTTGAGTTTGGGGCTGAATTGATGGGCCTGCAAAACAGAATGCCTTGGCATCACGGGCATAATGACACACTTTGAAACGAAGCCACAGGTACAAACTATATCCAAACTTCAGTCTTCGAGTGACGTCTTGAAAGGAAATGCAGGTGACCAAGATAAGGCACACAAGTTGACTGGCACCTCAACCTCTGACGTCCTCTGGAGACCCGTGAAAACCGCACCGAAACACAACGCGGCGGCAACTGCCGCGCGACATGTACCGGATCACCGGATCATACCTCCCTCACACGTGATGCAGGTATGCGGTTCAGCAGGCAGCTACCTACTCACCTGTACACATTGCATCCACTCACTTGTACACATTGCCTGGCTCGTGCAGCTGCGGCACCGGCTGCAGCGGGGTGGCGGCGAACCCGTGCTGCGAGGTCGCCGCCGGCGCCGGCGCTCCTGCCACCTTCCGAAAACAAATGCTGCACATCAGACCGCTGCACGTCAGACGTCCGCCAACAGGTGCCAGGTCAGGGTCACTCAGAGAATACAACATAGTTTCTTGTGCAAAGCTGGCATAAGAAAAACAGCTGACAAGGAGTGCATGACATTAGTGAGGAAGTAAAGACTGCATCATTCAGTAATTGTCACTTGTGATGTCAATCATTACCATCAATGTCAATCTGGCCCCCATTTGATAATGACCTGGGGTTTAAATCTACCACGAAATTTGTTCCTAGCATTTGGGGTTGAATATGACACAGTAGCATGGAAGAAACTGCACAACACACCCTGCTGGCAACTTTACACTTAGACTTTGTGCATACAAAAGCAGCAACTGACCTGGCATTTTACAGTACTAACCAACACAGGGCATCACATACAGCCCTTCCCAAATGTGTTGACAGTCCAAATAAGGTTAAGATTGGGTCCATATCACTGAAAACATCCACTGTACATACAGTGACACACAACAGTTCCATGCTTCTCACCTCTGATGGAACCTCAGTGGGATTAACTTCACCAGTTCTGACCAGATACTGGATAAAATCCTTTGCTGCATTTGTCTGGGCATCTTTCTTGCTTGTAGAATTGCCAACTGCTGTGTAGGTGTAATTGTGCACTCTCAGCTCACAGAGAAACCTCTGTCTGTGCTTTGGCCCTGGAAAATAATTTACACCACATATCTCCTTGCACTGCTATTGCCAGTGACTGCTTTGCTATTGGAAAGGAGCCCCTAAAGATGGAGAGTCCAGCTTGCCATGGGTTATGTGCATGCACCATGGGTTGCATGGATGTCAGATCACAATCACTCAAGCAACTGCTGAAAATCAGTTCTAAACATATTTAAGCCTGATCCATCATAAACCACCAACTTTTTAAGGGTGTAAACTTAGGCCCAGTATGAGGCCATCCTACAAAATTTCATGCACATGCATGGACATGGTCTGGACATACATCCAATATCTTGCATCATCAGTATTCCATATGCATCTTCCCCAGCCTTACCAGACTGCCTGACTGAAT